GCAATTGAAGATTTCTTGCTACTGTGCAATTGAAAATTTCTTGCTATTGCACAATACTTATTATATAATAATTTACACATCCTGTTTGGTGTGTATCTCCTACCATATCATTATTATTTGCTTTTAAATATTAATCAGAAATAACCAACTTGAAATGGAAAATTTTAAAAGAAAAAAAAAAGGAAAAAAATCCCCCCCCACAAATTTTTTGAACCCCCTTATGATTCATCACCCCCAAACTCAATCCCAGCCTTCCCTTTGTGGTATGGTACCTTGCAGTACAATTTCAGAGAGATCCATACACTTGAACACAAGTTATTGTCTGGAAACTAGAAAAATGTGTTTTTTGGCCCCTTTTTGACCCTATATTCCTAAACGTTCAGGGCAATTACCCCCAAACTCAAACCCAGCTTTCCCTTTGTGATATGGAACCTTGTAGTACAATTTCAGAAAGATCCATACACTTTAACACAAGTTATTGTCTGGAAACTAGAAAAATGTGTTTTTTGGCCCCTTTTTGACCCCAAATTCCTAAACTTTTCGGGGAATTACCCCAAAAACTCAAACCCAGCTTTCCCTTTGTGATATGGAACCTTGTAGTACAATTTCAGAAAGATCCATACACTTATACACAAGTTATTGTCCTGAAACTAGAAAAATGCTTGTTTTTTGGCCCCTAATTCCTAAAATATTGAGGCAATTACCGGCAAACTCAATTCCAGCTTTCCCTTTGTGATATGGAACCTTGTAGTACAATTTCAGAAATATCCAAACACTTACACACAAGTTATTGTCATGAAACTAGAAAAAAGCTTGATTTTTGCCCCTTTTTTGGCCCCTAATTCCTAAAATTTTGAGGCAATTACCCCCAAAATCAATTCCAGCCTTCCCTTTGTGATATGAAACCTTGTGGTACAATGTCAGAGAGATCCATACACTTACACACAAGTTATTGTCTGGAAGTTACAAAAATGCTTATTTTTGGCCCCTAATTCCTTAACTGTTGGTACCATAACCCCCAAAATCAATCCCAACCTTCCTTTTGTGGTATTGAACCTTATGGTAAAATTTCATAGAGATCCATTCACTTAAACTAAAGTTATAGTGCGAAAACAAATGTGTCTTAGGACGATGACGACAACGACGCCAACGTCATACCAATATACGACCTCAAAATTTTTGCGGTCGTATAAAAACTATAGGTAGGTGTTAATTTAGGAAAGTTTTATAAAATTTTGTTGCTTTTTCGTGTCAAATTTACCATGTTGTCAATTTTGTAAATTTGGGATTTTTCTCTCGTTTTTAGAACAAAAAGCATATTATTTCAACATCTTTGTTATAAATGATTGAAAAAATCATATCTAAGAAATTTGAAAAGAAAACATTGACATAGGATGTACATGTATCTGGTAAAATCATTTCTTGTACCCCTCATCCATTTTCTCAACATTTTGGCTAATGAGACTGACTTGATTGGTTATAAAATTTGAAAATTTTATTACTCAAAAACTGTTTATTGTAAATACACAATTTTTTCACAGAGTTAAGTTTGATTATAATATTTTTAAAATTCATTGATATTTTCCACTTTTATCACATGTTTTGGAAATAATTCCAGAACGAGATTTCAATGAGACTGAAACGTCAGAAGAATACATCCTTAATCTATTTGCACCAATATAACTGGAAATAATAGAAAAAAAATGTTTTAAAAGTGTTATTCTACATAAACAAACTCAAGAAATCATAAAGTCTTATTAAATTATTTAATAAACATATACCTTTGTAGTAGCAAGAAGAGTAGAAAATAATTTGTTTCATTTTATTTCAAAATAATGCAAATATTTTTGGTTGTCATTTACAATGTTGTACAATTACTTAGCAAAAATACATGAAAAAACATGAAAATGCAGCATCAATAAGTCAACTGCAGTGGAGATTAATCAAAATATTATGCATTTTTTTAAATTTTATTTGAGAAAATTTTGATAACTTATCAAAAGCTATACAAATGGCAATATACAGATATAAAAGCTTTTAAAATATCACAAATGCCCAATTTCATTATCGATTAGTATGAATTAGATTTTTTGTTTAGTACATATATCACATCACATGAGTATATAAAGTACTGATGAGAACAAAATGAGTGAAAATGTTGATATTTTTCATACTGTCTGATTAATTGAACAATATAATTTTTTTTATCCTTTTATCACCTGCACTATTAACATTCTCCTAATCAACCTTTCATTTCTCTCTAACAATTTATTAATATCATCAAGATTCACAATATATATCTGTTTTCAATCTCTGGCAAAGGTAGCTTCACTCAAACTTGATACCCTGAGCTAATGGCAATTCTTTACTGTAGTTTATTGTGCTGTAAATATAAACATATAAACATTACAACACAAGATTGACTAAATTTCACATTCAGAGAAAATTTACCTAATTACACCATAAAATATTATTTTAAGTTTCCTTTGTGGTAAGAAAATTGTAACTTTTTTATCGTTATGGAAGACATCTATAAGCAATCACTTGTTACGGTAAATTTTAATGTAAAAAAGATCATTAGCTAAACATTCATTGTGATTTTCTTGTACAGTGCAGCAGTCAGTTGTATCCGTGCACCTAAGACTTTTGGCTTCACTTTGGTAACCTCATAAAACCAATAATCAGAAAATATTGTGTGAACAAATTCCTGACATACTTTAATTTCATGAAGCCTTCATTATGTATGGTTTCATCCTTAAGATTTTATGTAATGTGTCCAAAATTAGGGAAACCCCTGTTTTGACAGGTCTTCAAATGTCAGGTGATTTTGCACATGCCTTCTAAAAATAGCAAATTTTGAATACAAGAAAGATTTTATACTACGAAATATATTTCAGTTTGAACCAAACAATTTGTCAAGGATGCAGAGCAAAATTTTCATTTTGATAAAAATTTGACTTAAGGTGGATCCCTACAGATAAAGCAATTTTTTTTTCACCAATGAATTTTTTTTTAAATTTGCATACATATACTATGCAATGGCCTCTATCAAAATTTGAGTTAAAAATATCATGTCACCAGATTCGTTTCCATGGTAACGGCCACCAAAGTTGGCACATCACATATGTGAATGAATACATACCTGAAGTAAAAATCCTGGATTTTTTTCAGGCCTTTGAAAGTATTTTGAAAGGTTTGTTCTTTATTTAGTACATAAATAATGTTGAAAATGTAAATAAAACACAAATAATAGCAGTTTTATACATATTTATTAAATCCCGCCCCCATTTCGTCAACAATAGTGCAAATGAAAAACAAAGATTTTGTTAAAATTTTCTATTTTTCTTAAATTTCCAAAAAATTGGTCCAATGAATTTTTTTTTAAATTTGACATAATATGATCCAAACAATGAGCTTTGAAAAAAAATAAAAAAAAATATAGGTCACCAGACTATTTTTTCATCGAAAAACATTTTTGTTACCCATGCCGACACAGTAATCAACAGCAATTCTTTGTATTTTTTCAAAATTTGTGTAAACAAAGTGTTGCACATGTTTCAATATCTTTTGTTGAACCTACACATATCAATAAAGTTTCACATATGAATCAAAAAGAAGACATTTTTTTGTTTTTATGTACAACGGTTACCATGGCAACTGGGCAAGAAGAAGTAAAATTCTAATTTTATGTATACAAAGTGTGGCAAATATTGTCATATCTTTTGTAAAAACCTAAACACAATAACAGATTGACATGAGAATCAAATTAAAGCTGTTGTTTTGTTTCTAGGAACAATAGTTACCATGGCAACCAGGTAAGACGTAGGAAAATTCAGATTATAACGAATTTTTTTTCTTTCAAATATTGTTTTATAAGTACGAATCAAGCATGTAAACAGATAAAAAACTTTCATGATTTTTTTCACCTGTCATAAATTAACAATTTTTGTTTGATGAAGCATACATATTACTTGCCATGGTAACATTTATACAAAAACTGACCATATAACATGAATATATATACAAAATTCAGTTTTCCTCCTTTGGGCCACCCGCCTCTTTACTGTGAATAATAATGTAAATTTTCACACCTCACTGATAATTATCAAAGTTATGCCAACATATAGTTTTCAAATAGTGTAATATTAGGCCAATTAAAATTAATTGATAGATTTTCATCCCCGCCTGCCCCTCTGAAATCGTCCCGCCCCAATTTTTATATTTTTGAAAATTTACGATTTCTGGATTTTGTTCATTTCCGTTACCGGTAACCACCGATAATTCCATTTCATTCAAAACTTCCAGTTTCAAATTTCGGTTTCGTATTTCTTCGAGTAATATAAGACAAGTCGACATATTCTTCTGCTTAATGATGACAACATTTTCTTCTGAGAATATAGATTGATTACTAGAAGGGCATGAAATATTCTGGTTACGAGTTATAGGTTGTGTCCAAGAACGCTAATCGCAGTATGTCACAAATTTCAGTGATTAGAAAACCATGGATTTTTTTTATTTATACAATGACTTTGTGTCAGGAAATTTGGACTGTGAATGATATCCAAAGCGCAAGAATCGTGGAACACATTGGTACAAAAACATGACTAGAATAAAGTAATTTACACAAGCACGAACTTTATGACCGTATATTGAGTACAAAGAGTCAGCCAACGTACAAAATGTATTATAGCAAGCCCTTAGATTTAACCCCCAAGACTGTCGTTTTTGTAGACAAACAGCAAACACCCTCTGTCCCAAGCCCCTCAATAGAGTCATTAAACAACTTCTTTTTGGTTCAATTCATGTTTTACATTGCAATTAAATTAAAAATGGGCACTACAAATCATAGCTTAGAAAGCAAAATAAATTTGATCTAGATAGTCTAAAAGAGAACATTTCTCCACGTTTTTGCTACAAAATGTATTACTAAAAAAAGGTTTCTAAAGCGGCAATTACATGTAAAACAGTGGTTGCCAATCAGAAATATTAATTTGAGAATTCCTTATATATACATGATATAAGCTTATTATTACCCTTGTATATAAACAACACGTCACAAAGGGGTATAGAAGGAAATAAAAAATAAAAAATAAAATCCTCCCACCCGCCCCATTTTAAAAAAAAATCTGGATGAAAATCTACTAATTAATTTTAGTTGGCCTTAAATGATAGGAAAAAAAAACCTATATATCATCAAAACTCTAATTTGTAGCAACATAACAAGTTATAACATATATAATATTGTTTACTCCTCTGGTACTGTCAAAAACTGAATGATAGGTCCAGCATATTTAGCGCTCACATGATTCTCTGTCAAAATAGCTTTTACTCCATTCTCATCTCTAGCATTTGCAATCTTTAAATGACACAAATGGACTCCACTTCTTGCCAATTTTGAACATATCAATGTATTTATAATTTTCATATCAATTAAAGGTTTAAATGATATCTTTGCATGGTTATAGTTCAGATTGTAAACATCTTCATTGATACATTTTTCCTGAAGCTTAACCTCAAAAAGTTTTTTCAACGAAAGAACATCTTCTTTTGCATTATGTGCACTGTAAGTCGACTGTAAAATTTCATTTACAAGAGTCTGTTGCTTGTAATTTTCTACTTCATGTTTTGGAATTACACGTTTAGAAACTTTTAAGGTGTCAATAAATCCTTTTGCACAAGCAGAAAAAGTTGAAAACAAATGGAATTCCTTCAATCTATTCTCTAACACCAACATATCAAAATTAGCAATATTATGTCCAACTAATATAGGTCTGTCATTAAGTTTTAAAAAATCAATGAAATCTAGCAATGACTGCTCAGCAGAACATGTTTCAACTATTGTTCCATTTACATACATTTTGTTTGAAGAATGTAAAAATGTTATACCAGTTATCGTACTTGCTTCTTGAGTAATTTCCGTTCTTGGAATAACATAACGTTGAAATGTATTTGAACCACAGGCTGCAGCAATTTGAGTTATGTCACTATTCCTTGACAAACCAGTAGTTTCCAAATCAAAAAATACAAAGTTGTCAGACTCATTTATGGTTAATGGTGAGGGTATTTCCTGGATATCTGGCATAGGTTCATTAACTTCTGCATTGTTTTCATAAGTTGTGCCTTCTTTTACCTTTGACCTAAACTCAGATTTCTTCTTTTGTTTTTTCAATTGAATACGCCTTCTTTTAAATTCTTTGGTATTTTGCCTTTCTCTTTCTCTTTTCAATTTCTTGTCCATTCTTTTACCAATTCTCAGTGTATGTTGTCCTGGAGACAATAAAGAAGCCTCATTTACCTGAAATAATTTAAAAATTTGTTAGCATGGATATACAATGTATAGCATCAAGAAATTTGAAATGTTTTATCTAAAAACCATGCAATTAATTTTTGTAGACATAATATTCTTATATGATAAGCATATCAACACATATTTGAATGTGATTGGTCCTTAAGAGTATCTTTTCTAGGTTTACACTTTGTTGCCAAAATGTCTTACATGGCCTATGGAAACTTAACATTGAAGTGTATGCATGCAAGACACATTCAAAAATGGTAAAATTAGTTTATTCCATGTTGTTTATTTCATATGAACAGTTTCACTACCATTCAAGAACCTGTTTCAGATTGCATTTAAAAGGGGATGACCATTTTTTTCTGTGTAAATATTTTTTATTACCATTTTGTTTCCAATTACTTGTTTAATTTATTCATTTACCTTTGACAGCCATGTATAGCCTTCATTCTTCTGTAATACTGAGGCAGATAACCTATTGCTTAATGATGATGATCCACCATAAAACCTATAAATAAAACATATATAATAAAAGCATGGTTTTAAATCAAGGTTATTATGTATAATTGAGTTAAAAAACATAAATCTTTTTTACATAAATAAGGCCATTAGTTTTCTCAGTTGAATTGTTTTACATTGTCATTTTGGGACCTTTTATTGCTGACTATGCCGTATGGGCTTTGCTCATTGTTGAAGGCCATATGGTGACCTATAGCTGTTAATTTCTGTGTTATTTGGTCTCTTGTGTAGAATTGTCTCATTGGCAATAATACCACATCTTCTTTTTTTTAGATTAAGACAAGTACAATAGAAATCTCAAAACAACTTTTACTGTAAAGCTAGTGTGTTAAAACATAAACTGTTATCACAGAGATATGTCTCGCCTTTTGTAATTTTGATAATGCAAATGTTGAAATTAAAATAGCAATACTTTAACATGTAAGTTGTGCAAATATTCAAAGTCGATGAACCATGACTGAAGGTACATGGCTAAACAATCTCCATGGAATGAGATGTGCCAATGCTAATACAACTGCATACCAAATACCATTGACTTATTATAAGTCGTTCCCTTTAAACAAACCTAAACACAAACATTAACTTGTAAACTATGTAAAAGTTTAAAAGTCAATGAACCATGATCAGGGGTGGGGCTATATAATCTCCATGGAAACAATACTTGCAAATGCCAATAAATTTGCATACCAAATATCATTGACTTAACATTAGCAGTTCATCTTAAACTGATCTAATCACAAACTTATACATGTAAACTAAGCAAAAGTTTCAAAGTAAATAGACCATGACTGAGGGGGCGGGGCCAAATATTCTCCATGGAAATGAGATGTGCTAATGCTAATGGTTCCCCTTGAACTGACATAATCACAAACTAATACATGTTAACTTAGCAAAATTTTCAAAGTCTATAGACCATGACTAAGGGGGCGGAGCCAAATAATCTCCATGGAAATGAGATATGCAAATGCTTATACAACTGTATACCAAATATTATTGACCTACCACTAGTGGTTCCCCATAAATTGACCTAATCACAAACTAATACATGTAAACTGTGAAAAGTTTCAAAGTCAATAGACCTTGACAGAGGTGGCGGGGCCAAATAATCTCCAAGGTAATGAGATGTGCCAATGCTAATACAACTGCATACCAAATATCATTGACCTACCACTAGTGGTTCACCATGAACTAGACCTCATCACAAACTAATACATTGTTGACGCCGTCACCGACGCTGGAAACAGCATACCTATGTCTTGCTTTTTGACTCCATCAAGGCGAGACAAAAATGATCCTTTTCATCAATATGTAAGTGCAACCCCTATAGAATTGAATGCATCTTACATGCCACAATAGAGTGCTTACATTTCAAATGTTCTCATTGTTATCAAATCTTGGCCAAAATTTCAAATAAAACATAGTCATAAAAATTGAAACTAAGGGGCAATAACTCTTATAATGGGTCAACAGACGATTTCTTCACTGATGTAAGAGATTTTCTGTAATAAGAAGGTGATCAAATAGTTTAAATATACTCATAGCTGTTTTTAAGATAACTGTTCTAAGTAAATTTTAGATTCAGAGGAGAAGATTTATATAATTAAGATCTTAAAAAGTTAACAGAAAATAATTGAGAAAAGTTCACTTCACCATTTTGTTTAGGTGAGCAATAATTGAAAAAAAATATTAAAATAAATCAGTCTGGTTATAAGTTTTTTATCAAATATTTACCGTGACTTTGGGGCTTTGCTTGCCACAATCTGGTTGAAATTTTCGTTTCCCTGTGTTGATCCCATATTCTGCAATGTTCCAGCTCTAGTACTATATTTCTCCATCAAAGTAGATATCTCTTTTTTTAGGGCATCATTGGAGAGAGATTCACCATTTGGCAAACTCTTATATCTAAAAGTAAACAATAATATATGAAATATTTTTTAAATACTTATATATAGCACTTTATATATATTTGTAGTGTACTGTATCATATTTATATGATCCATCACCCTGTAAGATTTTTCATTGACTATTTATTCAGTCATAATTATACTACTAAGTATAACAAAATTTGTCATTGATATAATTTTTATTATATAATCAATCAGAGACTTTATATAGTATTATTTATAGATTTTTCTTTTGGCATCACAACACGATTGATATCACCCGCTTGAAGCAAAGCTTTTATAAATGTAAAATCTACATAGCAAATATGACATGTCATTGCTAAATAAAAGTGGTAATAAAATGCTCCGCTGGGCGCAGCTTGATACGACCGCAGAGGTTGAACCCTGAACAGTTGGGGCAAGTATGGACACAACATTCAAGCTTGATACAGCTCTGAATTTGGATTGTGATTAAATATTTGACACAGCATAGGTTTCTGACACAGAATGAATGTGGTCTAAGAACTTAAAATTTTTTAATTTACCTATTATGGTCCAATATCCAAAATCTAAATACATGGTTAGATTCAGCATATCAAAGAATCCAAAGAATTCAATTTTTGATGAAATCAAACAAAGTTTAATTTTGGACCCTTTTGACCTCAATGTGGACCAATTTGATAACGGGGCCCAAAAACCAAAATACATGGTTAGATTCAGCATATCAAAGAACCCCATATATTCAATTTTTGTTGAAATCAAACAAAGTTTAATTTTGGACCCCAACTTGGACCAACTTGAAAACTGGGCCCATTATCAAAAATCTAAACACATGTTTAGATTCAGCATATCAAAGAACCCCAAGAATTCAATTTTTGTTAGAATCAAACTAAGTTTAATTTTGGACCCTTTGGACCTTAAAGTATACAAATTTAAAAAACGGGACCTAATATTAAAAATTTAAATACACAGTTAGATTTGGCATATCAAAGAACCCCAATAATTCAATTTTTGATGAAATAAAACAAAGTTTAATTTTGGACCCTTTTGACCTCAATATGAACCAATTTGATAGCGGGGCCCACAAATAAAAAATCTAAATACATGGTTAGATTCAGCATATCAAAGAACCCCATATATTCATTTTTTGTTGAAATCAAACAAAGTTTAATTTTGGACCCTTTGGACCTTAATGTAGACCAATTTGAAAACTGGACCCAAATTTAAAAATCTAAATTCACGGTCAGATTTGGCATAACAAATTCATAAATGTGGTCAAAGATTTTACAAATCTAATGCACCATACTGTGCAATGATAGATTACTTCTTGAAATTTTTCAATATTTGAAATTTGAAAAAAAAAAAAATATTTGAAGAATAATTCTTTTTAATTTCTTTTTACCCTCCCCCCCCCCAAAAAAAAAATTCTTTCCCTCAAGATATGGTCATAATCTCAATTCAAATTTCCAATGGAATTTGCAACCATAATTACCCATTTAAATTTACCATAGTGCTAACTTAATCTATTTAATAAAAGAATTTAAAATATGGTGTCAAATCTTTCATATGGATTTTTTTGTAAAAAAAAAAAAAGATGCAACATTTGCAGATATTTTTACTGGTCTTCCTTTATAAATATGCATTTCTTTAAACATAATTTAAAAGCAGTGTAAGGGAAGTAATCAAAATGTTGTATGTGGATTACCTCCCTTACACTGTTTTTAATTGTCTTAATTGTTCATTAACCATTACTTTATACATAATTTAAAAGCAGTGTAAGGGAGGTAATACAAATGATGTATTTGATTTATCTCCCTTACACTGCTTTAAATTATGTTTTATACTAAAGTATTTGTCCATGTAAAAATGCTTGTTTTTTGCCCCTTTTTTGGCCCCTAATTCCTAAAATTTTGAGGCAATTACCCCCAAAATCAATCCCAGCATTCCCTTTGTGATATGGAACCTTGTGGTACAATGTCAGAGAGATCCATACACTAACACACAAGTTATGTCTGGAAGTTACAAAAATCTTATTTTTGGCCCCTAATTCCTTAACTGTTGGTACCATAACCCCCAAAATCATTCCAACCTTCTTTTTGTGATATTGAACCTTATGGTAAAATATCATAGAGATCCATTCACTGAAACTAAAGTTAAAGTGCGAAAACCAATGTGTCTTCGGACGTCGACAACGACGCCAACGTCATACCAATATACGACCACAAAAAATTTTTTGCAGTCGTATAAAAAATGATGTGAATATTTTTTTGTTTTGTATGTTATTTGCATTTATATATACATTTTTTTACATAAATTGGATTTAATCAAGTATTTACATGTATAGTCATTACTTAACAAACATAAGATCCTTTTTTATGAGATGTAGTCTTTTGCTCATTAATGAAGGTGTATACATTTACAGTAACCTATTATTGCTGACACAATGTCTGCACTTTTCCTAAGGAAGACTGAGTTGTCTCTTTGCATGGCAATCTTACCACACCTTCTTATTTTCATATGCATACCAATTTTAAGGTGTGTTATTATGTCTTACATGTACCTACAATTTTCTGGGTCATTCTTATATGTACACCATTCAGCATCTGTACATAAAGTGTGGTCTCCAAAAATGTGTTGGACTAATCTGCTGAAGGCACTCCTTATGTTTTCTGAGGAATTGTTATTTTCTTTGATGGCATACATAAAGCATCGTACAAGGTATGGTATGACTTCTGGGTGTTTCAATTCCTTAAATGTTTTAGACAAATCATACAGTTTCTTAGAAAAACCTTTCTTGATATGGTTCTGGTCATCTTTCTTTTGCAGTTCTTTAAAATCAACCTTTAATCTTGCTGTTGTGGTCGAGTCATTATCAGCATGGAGAACATGAATAGGACATCCATTATCCTTCAGATTGTGGGTCATCTCTAAAGCCATATCAGGTTCCATGCCTTTACTTGTACCCTGCCAATTCTTGCTGCAGTCATGTGAAGGGACTGTTTCTTTTCTACCCATATGGTATTCACAGACTTTGCAATTCCGGCTTCTATGAGAGAAGTCTATGACTTTACCCGTCATTGTACCGATCATGCTGGCATGTCCTAAAATTTACGATAAAAAGATTATTTTGAGATACATGTATGCAATATTACAAATATTCTAATATGATTTGCATATCAACAATTACTTGAATGTATCTATCCATTAAATTTTCTTCTGATAAATTAACTCATATAAAACTGAATAAAATTCAGATTCCTTATAATATAAAAATTACAAAAAAAAAAACGCAAAGTGAAGCATCCCATGAACATAGGCGAATGCTTCTAAAGTTATCACAAAGTAATTATTATGTTAAGAATTTACAAGCTCCAATGTGACCTTTAGATTTTATTTACCTAATGATAATTGTGGACAAATTAGATTGACCCAGTAGTTTTAGAGGAAAAGAATATGTTATTGTTTTAGTGGGCAACCTATGACAAATTCTAGAATTCTTTGTGATTACAGCTGTTATAGTCATATGTATGATATTGTTGCATTACAGTTTTGAAGGTTAATATTTCATTACTGAACTGTCAAGATGAAGAACAGGAAAAAAGCCCTGTTTATTGATAATATTTTTTTATTTTGTCTCTGTATAGTTTGCAATTTTGTTGCATGTACATGTACATTTACTCCATATCCTGCTATTTTTTTTATACATATGTTTATATTGCAATTTATATTCATAATTGCTTTATTCTTGTGTGTGTGTGATGTATTACATGTATAGGGAACATTTTTTTTATTAATCAAGTTAAAGCCTAAACTGTTTAAATTTACCTGTATTACTATCATAATTCCAACCAGTACCCCGCTTTTGCCATCCTGCATCAAAACTGGCTTCAACCTAAATGACAAAAAATAGAATTAATGAAAGAACATGCTGTTTTCAATTATTTTGTAGCTATAAACATATTAAATATAAAATTAAATGGAAAATTAGGCTGTCAACATTGTTATTTGTAATAATAAATATAAAATAACCATACATTGTTTTGAAATATGAATGTTAGTTGTAAATGGCTAAGAACCAGGCCTTGCGGTCATAAAACTTTTGAGTCAGTTTTTTGTACTCATACTCCAAAATTAACCAATCAAAATCTTGGATTTCATTTTTCGAGCATGATTTTTGTGCTCCGAGCACTGAGCAAAGTTTTATGACTTCAACCCCAGGTATAAAGCGAGGCTATGCATCCTATTTAGAGCCAAGTTCAAATACAGTGCAAGGGAAGGAGAAAAAAGGTGGGGGGGGGGGGATTTTTTCTCAATTCAGATTTCAGAAATTAAAAAAAAAGGGGGGGGGGGGGGGTAAAAATTTTGGTGGGTCAATTCACAACAGCATAGTGTAATTTGCAAAAAAGGGGGTGCTAAAAAAAATTTAGGAGGGGGTGGTGAGTCAATTCCCAACAGCATAGTGTATTGCACAAAAGAAAACAATTGAATATAAATTCTGATCCTGTAACCAATTCTTAGTACCTTGACCACAGTTACACTGTGTCACAAACTTGTTATGTGTCAAATATTTAATTACATCCCAATGCAGACCTGTATCAAGTGTGAATATTGTATCCAATTTTGCCCCAACTGTTCAAGTTTGGATCTCTGCTGTCATACATGTATCAAGCTGCGCTCAGCGAAGCAATTTATCTAATTTGAAATATTGACCCTGAACCAAATATTATTACCAAGATCTGAATCATGTATAAACCTAATTAATTTTCTCTGACAGCAAGGGCAAAATTAAATATACGGTCCTCATTGTTCTCTATATATATACTTTGTAAAATTATCAAAACATTGCTTAAAAAATATCTGCCTAAATATTAAATTACCTTTCCATTACTCATTAACTGTTCCTTCTTTTGATTTGATTGACATGATTCTCTTGCAACTTCAAATATTTTTTTCCCAATTTCATTTTCCTTTTTCTTGATGGTGGAGGAATTCACAGGAGGTACATTCAATGCACCAAGAAAATTGTTGACATGTGTGGCCCCAATTCCTGCATGTATCATTCCTGAAAAATCAAGTATTTTCATTCTAAAACCAATGATTTTGTGCTTGATGTGAAACAACAGTCTGCATTGGTAAGTTAGATAATGCTAAATCTAAAGATTACAATAAAATAATCCAAGTTCTTTCTTCTTTGGAATATAATATTTTTTTTATATATAATTTATCTATATGATTGTAAATCCATATCTACATTTATACTTATAGATCAAAGACTCATATAAATTTCTTATAATGACTAATGATTCACTAATAATACTGTATACCCTAAAGGAAATTATATACCAACATATACTAAAAGTCATTTTTCTTTATTCATCCACCTTGTGCAGTTAAAAGTTTTGAAATGTGTGATATGATAAAGTTCACCAAAATGGTCACTAAAAGTATACATAGTATATAAATATGTTATATCCATAAACTGCATGTGTAAGGAGACTACCTTTTTAAACCGGTTAGGCATAACCCAACAAATGGGAATTATTTCCTCTAATTTGAACTAGAAGGGGGAGGGGGTTAAAAATTTGAAAAAAATGCATAAAAATGACTAAGTCCAGATTCATAAAAAATTTGGGCAGCACTTCCCCTGAAAATTACACTTTTTCATCCCAAACCCCATAAACCCCAGACCAGAACAGAGGGGAATTCAAGAAAGAAAAGGAGAGGTGTGGGGCAGTTTCATTTATACAAGACATGAAACCATACACCTTCTCCACCCAAAAGAAATTAGTATACAGAATCTAGAGAGAATCTTGTAAATTCTTACCTAATGCAACTTTTGAATTCACTACAAATGCACCAGTCTCACTTCTTTTTCCCGTTTCCACACTGTTACAAGCACTGCAGCTACTACAGGGTATGAACAAAATGCTACCAAGGCCGTACTTCCGTTCGCCGACAGTGTCAATTAACTGCAAGGGACAGTTACACATTTTGCAGAAGAGATTCTGTGCGAGGTGGAGCAATTCGACTAGCCGACGACCTTCTTTCCATGTTTCGTCAAAAGAAGGGTCACTGTGAACGGACACCGATTGTCCAACGTCCAACTCACAAAAACTTACATCTTGCGAATTATTAGTGAGAATATAAGTGTGGTCTTCCCGACTGAGGCTATTTAAATTATTCATTCTCAAAGAGCGCTTTAATTTATCCTTTTTGATGAACTTTCCTTCCCTACGTATGCGACCCATGACGAAAAAAGCGGATATATTGACTAACTAGTATTGTTTATCCGTTACCAGACGATAACAAAGCTGTTACCGTGACATCGTAATATACGCGATATATACAATGACGTAAATCGTAAACCAGTCTTATATCAGTAAAACGTTGTTCTCTCCCTTAGTGTCGGAAGTTACCTTAAAATGAAATAATATCTGATAATGTATTTTTTTTTAATGGAAAATGGCTTAACATGGTTAATCATGATTGCAATTATAAATTTATGCTTGAACTTATCAATTTAAATCTTTTTTGTCCTTTCGGAAGACTAAAACAATTACAAGAATGATTCTATTTGTGTAACATATCGGATATGATAAAATCAGGTACTGTGTGATATCACCGGCCGTACAGACACAATGGGATTCCACTGTAATCATACGAGTTTGAGTTTTGTTCCTAAGTGTAAGTGTACCAAATACAGTGCACTTAAGCGAAGACAAAAATATGATTTCTCAACATACATTTATAAGTTATAAGTACTTGGGCAAAGTCAAAATAAATGGTCCAAATTTATTTTTTTTTACCAAATTTCAACATTGTTTCAGTGCATTTTCTTTTAATGTATTTTGATACATATACATTTAAGTTCATGAATCCAAAAGGATATAAAAAAGTATAAAGAAATAAAAAAATTCTGAAACTTTAATGACATAAACAAATAAAAAAAATTTAAATCAAGTATACATTTTTGGAATATGATTTCAGACAAACACTATCAAATATTTATAATTTTTTCACCTCAATTGATTGCAGAGATCCAAACATTACTTTTGATGCATAGATTATTAATCTCCTCTTTGATTATCATTTTTTTTTTTATGTTTTTGACTATTTTTTGTATCGATTCATTTAAAGTTGATTGAAAAAGTTTTGATTAAAAAATAGTTCATCAATTAGTTGATAAAAAAACTTCTCCATATTAAAATTAACCCTTTTTCAAATTCACTGAGAACAAAAAATTGATTGATAAATCTTTTTATAAAGAAGATATATCAAATAGAAAATACATCAAATTTCCCCTGATTTTGTTGCACTCCTGACATATTATACACCAAACAAAAAATACATAAACTAGAACAAATACTCATGATTTTTTTTAAATTTGTAAACATTGCTAGTTTATAAAGACCTAAATCTGTCATTTGAATGTTATTTCTATTTTAACTTATGCATCTTATGCACTTCAGATCATATTTAAATAGATTTTTCTGACACATTATTATTAAAATGGGGTTAAGTTACCAAACTATGAACTAAATTCTATTAAATAATCAGCAGAATTGTTGTTAGACAACTTAAAAAGAGATCTGCAATTTTTAAAGTTTTTCTGAACTACTATTATTTTTTAAAATTATTACACATATAAGGTACTTTATTTCTCCTATTTTGTTGCACTCCTGACACTCAATATATATCATATCAAAACAGTTATACATCATCAAAATAGCCCATGATTTCTAGATTAAGTGTATATACCTTTCAGATTTAATGTTTTAATCTCATTTAAATAATATTTTTGAACTATATCATACATATATATATATATATGTATACCATTGTATACATAAGTTCAAGTCCCATCACATATTGCTACTATTTTGTTTTAATGGCAGTCTTTGCAATGTGTAAATGGGCTGAATTTTGTGGCTTGATGTGTAGAATAATCCTGCAAAATATATTTGGAAAATCTCAAGTATTAAAAAAACGACATTAAAAAAAGATGCCAAAATTGTCAGGAGTGCAACACTTTTTCTTGACATTTTGAATTCTTTATTTTTTTTATAAAGACACAGCAACTTGTAATATGATGATATGTGCCATTGATTCTAATTTATATTACAAATATTATGTCTTAGTGATGATTTTAGCTACAAATGAAGCTTGTCCATTAAACCTTTTTGATACAGATGTGTTTTGAAAAAAAGTTGTGCCCTGTCAGGAGTGCAACACTCAAATAAGTACAACTGAGGAATAGAATGATTTTTGAAAAAATAAATCACACCTTAACTTAAACAAGTCAATCCCGTATAAAAAGATGTGTCCTTTCCAGAATAAATACTTTATTAACCTGATTATTGATATAAAAAATGTGTGATAGTCAAGTAAAAAAGGCCTCCCTTTAAGTGTCCGGAGTGCAACTTTGAAGTTTAAAGACTCAAACTAATAAATACAAAAGTAAATATGGTTCTGTTTTATTTTTCAAAAGATACTATACTAGATACAAGATTGCTCTAAAGATTAGCCTGAGAGACAAGGAATTTTTCTCTTAGAACCATTTCTTTGATGTCAGGAGTAATGTGTTGAACTCCTGACATGAATTTACCATAACAAGCAGTTTTGCACAGATTCAATATTTTTATTTTATTAAAGTCTCACACATTTGGAGTTCATCTTGCAGATCCAACCTTTGAATGAATAAAAGATGGGAAAGATAGTTGATGAAACTGAAATAACTTGAGAAGACAGACTAAGGGATCAAATGACACCATCAAAGTCAACATCAACTATAACTTTGATGAGAAGAAAATTGAGAAAAACTCTGAAAGAAGATCCACCTTAAGGACACACTAGACAAATACATGTATAAGCAAAGAAAGAACAAAGGAAACAAAACAATGTAAAACTTAATTACAAAGACTTAGACTGAAGACGAAAACACAGATGAAGAAAATGAAAAAAAAACAAAACAGAGATTGGCAACAGAAGAGAAGAAGAAAATTGACACAAGCCGAAAAAGTTGCAAACCAACAGAAAAATCTCCAGTCAAGAACCAAAAGTACAGGTGCAGATACACTATCTAGAAAATCAGAAAGAGAAGACAAAGTATAGGGAAAATTCTTCCTGACCAACCCAAATCTTGCCCTAAAACAATTGAATACATCATATCCACAACTACACCAAGGCAGTAGTTGTAAGAAATAATCAGTACTGATGGAAGTGTGCAAGAAATTGATAGGTGCCGAAGTGGAAACAAAGGTGAGAGACCCTTAATTGATCTGGATCCTGTTAAAAAGAAACTGGCATTTTCAGAAAAGAAAAGAAGGCTACCTGATAAGTTTAGAACTAAGGGACTCTTTGATCATGCCATTTTCTTTTCAACAGTTTTCAGATCTTTTAGGGAATCCTCAACTTTGTTTATACTTCAACATGGTCAAGACTAATAAATTTCTTGCACACAGCTGCCATCAGTTCTCATTAACTCTGACAACCACCTTGGTGTAGCTGTGGATATGATGAGCTCATTTATTTCAGCCTAAGGTTTGGGATGGTCAGGAAGATATTGTCTTATTCTTTCAGTTCTCTTTCTGATTTCTCTAGGTATTATATCTGCATTATTCTGTTCTTTTGCTACGTATATACTTGACTGGACAATTTTCTGCTGGTTTGCAACTTTTTCAGCTAGTGTCAATTTTCTTCTTCTCTTCTGTTGCCACTTTCTGTTTTGTTTTCATTTTCTCATATGTGTTTTAATTCTGGTCTAAGTCTTTTGAATTTAGTTTTACATTGTTTTTTTTTTGTTTGTTCTTTCTTTGTTTATATTTGTCTAGTTTGTCCTTCTGATTTTGATTTTCTTTTAGTGTTTTTCTCAATTTTCTACTCCTCAAAGTTGAAGGTATTGTCGACTTTAATGATGTGTTTGTATGCACTTAGCCTGTCTGATTTTCTTCTAAAGTTCAGTTTCACAATCATCTTTCCCATCTTTCATTCATTCAAAGGTTGGATCTTAAAATTGAACTCAAAATGTGTTAAACGGCTTGTTATGGTAAATTGATGTCAGGAGTGCAACAAAATTAATTGTTTGTTATAACACTTATAACAATTTAATAAGTATTACATGAAACCATTATAAAACTTTTAAATTGAAATATGGTTATTTCCTAATCAAAAGACAAAGTTTAAGACAATAAGCTTCCATAATTTGAAAAAAATATGAAAATTTATCATTCAGATATTTTTGCTTGTGACAAACAATAATTCTTGGATCAAAGTCCTGCTTTTAAATTCACCTTTAGGAATTTATTATAACTCATACATGTAGCCTAAACAGTTAGAAAACATGTTTAGATGCAAATAAGTCACTAGGAGCTGAGATTATCTTAAAATGTAAGACCAAGAAAATGTCATTTTAAAACTGTTGCACTCCTGACATCAAAGAAATGGTTCTAAAAGAAAAATTCCTTGTCTATCAGGCTACTCTTTAGGTGCAATCTTGTATCTAGTATAGTATCTTTTGAAGAATAAAACAGAACCATATATTGCCTTTTGTATTTTGTAAGTGTGAGTCTTTGAACTTCAAAGTTGCACTCCTGACACATATAGGGAGGCCTTATTTACTTGACTCTCACACATTATTTATATCACTAATCAGGTAAATGAAGTATTCATTCTGGAAAGGACATATTTGTTTTACAGGGTTGACTATTGTTTATGTTTAGGTGTGAGTCATTTATGCAAAAATCATTCTATTCCTCAGTTGTACTAATTTTTGTGTTGCACTCCTGACAGGGCACAACTTTTTTTCAAAACATATCTGTGTCAAAACGGTTTAATGGAAAAGCTTCATTCTGAGCTAAAATCATCACTAAGACATAATAGTTGTAAAACAAATAAGAATTTAAGGCACATACCTCCATTCAACAAATTGCTGTGTCTTTAAAAAAAAGTATTTTTTCAAAATGTCACAAAAAAGTGTTGCACTCCTGACAATTTTGGCATCTTTTTTTAACGTCATTTTTTTATTACTTGAGATTTTCCAAAGATGTTTTGTAGGAATATTCTACACATCAAGCCACATCATTTGAAATTAATTTATTCAATCAAATGATCAGCATGATTGATAAATATTGCTTTATATGCAAGGAACCATTTATTTTGACTTTGCCCACTTAACAATTTTTTAATAGAAAACTTGCTTTCTTAATTGCTCATAATAATGTAAACAAATTCAACGTACAAATCATTACGGTAAATCTAATCTAAATTTTATTTGATGTTTTCAGCAAAATATTAATTCAAACAATGCTTTGAAAAACTAAATAAATGACCAACAGGTACAATTTTGATGAAGTAATGTTTAATGTATCTTCATCCCTACATTTGATACATACCATGTAGACCTTCTCATATACTGTTTCCATGCATCACTACCAGATTCCCTGCCCCCTCCTGTATGTTTTTCTCCACCTGTAAGAAAGTATTACTATATTATCATGTGCACTAATTTGATATATTTAATCACGTACTTTGATAAACTTTATAACTTTTAATGATAATATATTAGGTTACACCAAATTGAAAATAAAATCCTGCCACCTGACAAAATATCAATGATGTATCATGACAGTTTGGTCTACTAACTTGATATGTCTAACAATGAATTTTACTTTAAAAATGAAAAGTCTTTTATTTGCTTTTTATGGAGGCAAAGATAAAGGTAATAAAAGGTCACAGCCTAATTTCTTGGAAACCTCTGACAAACTAGTACCAATTGATAAAACCATGATGTCATTTTCATCTAAATTTAAAGAATGTCAGTATCAGGGTTTCCAAAAAAAAAAGAGTCTGTCTAATATGTTACAATCACATTTCAATCTATTTTACATTTAATTTAATTAAGATATGCAAGTGAATTCAAGGCAACCTCCTTGAGGCAATTAATTTTGTCACAAAAATTATTACGTCATATTTCGTCAATATGTCTTACAAATGACAATGCATCATCTGAAGTAAGGAATGTCAGCATATATCAGTTTATGATATACTTGTTATTATTGCAATTAAGCATTGAATAGAAGTTTTAATTTGTTTTTTTTTCTAGTATCAATTATTGACTTTTCAGCAATAAAAATTAAAAACAAAGATAGAAATGTGTAAATTCTGTGTACATATTTAATAAAAACATTTCAAATGCCTGTTTTCTTGAAGACCCAATACTTACCAAATGCCCCACCTATTTCTGCTCCACTGGTAGGAATGTTCACATTAACAATACCACAGTCTGAACCTTTAGGACTGAAAAAAATAACAAGTAACTGATAAAAGACTGAACACTTAGTAGATGACAGTAAAGCTTCAGATTTATTGGAGCTCTTGTCTGGAATAAATTTGACTGACAATGAAAATCTTAACAAACATGTGCTGAAATTTAACTGTTCTACATATTTTATTATTCCACTTTTAAACATATTGATAGTTTAATCAATATTTGATTGGTTGAGACTATCCCATGTGTCATTGAAAAAATCTTCATATTCCATTCTGAGGATCATATTCCCCTCTGAAATGTCGGGATTACTTCGTGCAACGTTACGCGCGGTTAATGTACATAACGTTTTGAACTTCTTATTCTTCTTAAAATAGCGATAGCAAAAATCATTATCATGTTCAAATTTATTTCAGACGATAAAACAAAAAGACTTATAATTAAATTTTGATCCTTACTGTTTATCAATGGTTATCTCGTGTTTAGTTTGACTTACAAAAACAAGCGGAAAAGAAAAAAAATGTATGCAAAATAATATTTAATGTATTGATAGTAAACAAAACATAGGCAGTGGAATAAAACATTCATTTCCCTTTGCCTCGGGAGATATGAAGATTTGTTCACCCTCGAAAAAATCATATTTCCCTCAGGCAGAGCCCTCATGAAATATGAATATTCTTGGGTGAACAAATCTTCATATCTCCCTCTGGCACGGGAAATAAATGTATAATATCCCATAACTGTCACAGCCAAAAATGAAGACTCCAAACATTAATAAGATTGTTATATTCCCATATAATAGTTTATGTAATAAAAAATCCTGCTAGCAGGCTGAGGTAATCCATGTTCCCACATGATAAGCAAACATTGAATGACCTCTACTTAAACACAGGATTTCATTTATAGTTTACCTTTTTTGCTGTACTAAAAACAACAAATTTAGTATGTCCTAGTTTAAAAGTTTGCATAGAATTCTTACTACAAATGCATTAATAGCAGAAATGTGGATCAAAATAAGCCAATTTATGCAGTTTCTGTAATAAAACTAATTAAACTATGATTCATCTTTTCTGGGCATGTACTCAAGTTAGAAATTTATGGATAGAAATTTCAGCACTTTTTTTAACATAAATGTAATATGACTTTAATATTAAATGCAAAAGATATTGTGTTTGGGTCAGAGTCATGGGATGTTTCCTTAAGGGCATACAATACAGTTTTGATCCCATGGTGAATTTTTGACGAAAGTTTGCATACAAGCTATTTTTCACCTCGTCAATTCAAATATAAATGTAATAAAATATATATCTTCATGTGCTACTTTTACAGATAAATGGGATCGAAATTTGGACATTTACTGTACATTTCAGTTTCTTTGATTTTTGTAAAAACATCTGGAATGTCTTCTCTTCATACGTGTGTTTTGAATTTGTGTAACAATTCTTTGGAAATAATTCATTTTTATTACATTTTCATGATTTAAGTCAAAACACAGCATTTTTGGCTGTATATTTATCTAATTTAAAAAAAAAATCATCAGTGATTTGTTCATAAAATTGGCACAAATAATTTAGAAAGACATAATCAAGCCAAATGTCATTTTTAAAAATAGGGGTTCATGAACTCATTTTCAAGTTAAATCAGTCTGAATGATAAAAATCAGTTGAAAAATGCATCTTTTCTCGATACATCACAGTTTGACGTCGCGAAAAATTACATTTTACATTAGTGACGTCATTACCTCCCCCAGGGGGCCTCGGTGGCCGAGTGGTCTAAGTAGTTACTACTGTAATCACTAGCCAGTCAACACTGAGGTTGTGAGTTCGAACCCCGCTCGTGCGGGTGCACTCGACTCCAATCTTAATTGACTAGGATTGTCAGTTTTCCTATCGCAGGTCGGTGGTTTTCTCCGGCTTCCTCCACCAATAATAACTGGCCGCCACGAAATAGCCCAAAAGCGGTGCTTAAAAGTGGCGTTAAAACACCAAAAATCAAATCAAATCAAATCATTACCTCCCCTGTAACTGTATCGTATGCCCTTAAATTTATTCACTGTTTTACAGTTTAGTATTACAATTATACATGTTGCTTTAATGCTTCATTACCAGCGCTTACAGGTGTGATTAATATGATTAATAAAATGCTCCGCTGGGCGCAGCTTGATAAGACCGCAGAGGTCGAACCCTGAACAGTTGGGGCAAGTATGGACACAACATTCAAGCTTGATACAGCACTGAATTTGGATTGTGATTAAATATTTGACACAGCATAGGTTTCTGACACAGAATGTATGTGGTCTAAGAACTTAAATTTTTTTAATTTACCTATTCAAACCATATCAATATTATTTGCTTTTATATATAAATCAGAAAAAAACAATTTAAAATGGTAAATTTTAAAGAAAAAAAAAGGAAAAAAAGGAAAAAAAATCCCCCCTCCCCAATTTTTTGAACCCCCTAATGATTCATCACCCCCAAACTCAATTCCAGCCTTCCCTTTGTGGTATGGTACCTTGCAGTACAATTTCAGAGAGATCCATACACTTGAACACAAGTTATTGTCTGGAAACTAGAAAAATGCTTGTTTTTTGGCCCCTTTTTGGCCCCAAATTCCTAAACATTTTGGGCAATTACCCATAAACTCAAACCAAGCTTTCCCTTTGTGATATGGAACCTTGTAGTACAATTTCATAAAGATCCATACACTTGAACACAAGTTATTGTCTGGAAACTAGAAAAATGCTTATTTTTGGCCCCTAATTCCTTAACTGTTGGTACCATAACCCCCAAACTCAATTCCAGCTTTCCCTTTATGATATTGAACCTTGTAGTACAATTTCAGAAAGATCCATACACTTACACACAAGTTATTGTCATGAAACTAGAAAAATGCTTGTTTTTTGCCCCTTTTTTTGCCCCTAATTCCTAAAATTATGAGGCAATAACCCCAAAATCAATCCCAGCATTCCCTTTGTGATATTGAACCTTTGTGGTACAATGTCAGAGAGATCCATACACAAACAATCAAGTTTTGTCTGGAAGTTACAATAAAATGCTCCGCTGGGGCGCAGCTTGATACGACCGCAGAGGTCGAACCCTGAACAGTTGGGGCAAGTATGGACACAACATTCAAGCTTGATACAGCACTGAATTTGGATTGTAATTAAATATTTGACACAGGATAGGTTTCTGACACAGAATGAAAGTGGTCTAAGAACTTAAAAATTTTTAATTTACCTATTCATACATGTGATGGACTGTGAAACTCAGATCAGGAGATTGGGAAATTTTGGTCAGGAGATTAGGACTCAGATCAGGAGGTTTTTAATTGACATAAATTTTGTAGTAAATGTAACAGTGTGCTGTAAAAATGGTCTTTTAAAGTGTGTTTTCTTCAACTTTCCATCCAATTTATTATGTTTATAGTACCCTTGTACATATAAAGTTTCTCCATCTTTATATTCTACATGTTCAATCTAACATTGTTTTTTTTCAGTATGTTCTTTAAATTTTTTACTTCATATTCTATAAAACAATCATTGCAACCAGAACATTTGTTTAACTATCTGCAAATAGATATTATTTGCATACTCAGAAAATCATTCTAACTGTAAAACAAGGGTCATAGTTATTATATATATTTCAATTTAAGCCTTGAAAGGAAGTATAGAATCCTCAAATAATTTTCAAATTATTATTTTTTTATTTGTCCTAAGACATTTAAAATCATTTAATTACCATCCTTTTATGATTATTTGTTCAATTTATATTTTATTTATATTCTTTTAAAAATTTTCATTATTAAAAGGAAAGTAACTTAAAACAGGATAAATCAAGGGAAGTAACCCAATAAATACACAGTTTTTGTTACACAACGGCAGTTAGCCTGAGGTAAAAATCGTTGATTACCAGTATGTTTGACACCCAAGCTGACAAGTGAAGCCATATAACTATGCATGTTAATTGATTTACAGGTAAAATATAACTTCAGGTAATGTCAGTTACACCAGATGCCTGAGATGATATGTTGGGCAGAAATTTTTCATTCATGAAAAATTTCATACACGGGATTTTTTCCTCTTTAACGGGAGTCGGGAGGAGACCCCTGAAAACAGGATTATTGTACTCCCGTCGAGAGGTTAACATGTATGCTATTCAAACTTGCTTTTATATACAAATCAGAAATAACCAATTTAAAATGGAAAATTTTAAAGAAAAAAAAGGAAAAAAAAATCCCCCCCCCCCCCCAAATTTTTTGAACCCCCTTGTGATTCATCACCCCCAAACTCAATCCCAGGTTTCCCTTTGTGGTATGGTACCTTGCAGTACAATTTCAGAGAGATCCGTTCACTTGAACACAAGTTATTGTCTGGAAACTAGAAAAATGCTTGTTTTTTGGCTCCTTTTTGGCCCCAAATTCCTAAACGTTTAGGGCAATTACCCCCAAACTCAAACCCAGCTTTCCATTGTGATATGGATCCTTGCAGTACAATTTCATAAAGATCCATACACTAACACACAAGTTATTGTCCTGAAACTAGAAAAATGCTTGTTTTTTTGCCCTTTTATGGCCCCTAATTACTAAAATTTTGAGGGAATTACCCCCAAAATCAATCCCAGCCTTCCCTTTGTGGTATGGTACCTTGCAGTACAATTTCAGAGAGATCCATAAATTTGAACACAAGTTATTGTCTGGAAACTAGAAAAATGCTTATTTTTTGTCCCTTTTTGGCCCCTTATTCCTAAACTTTTTGGGCAATTACTCCCAAACTCAATTCCAGCTTTCCCTTTGTGATATGGAACCTTGTAGTACAATTTCATAAAGATCCATACACTAACAAACAAGTTATTGTCATGAAACTAGAAAAATGCTTGTTTTTTGCCCCTTTTTGGCCCCCAATTCCTAAAATTTGGAGGAAATTACCCCCAAAATCAATCCCAGTATTCCCTTTGTGATATGGAACCTTGTGATGCAATGTCAGAGAGATCCATACACTTACACACAAGTTATTGTCATGAAACTAGAAAAATGCTTGTTTTTTGCCCCTTTTTGGCCCCTAATTCCTAAAATTTGGAGGCAATTACCCCCAAAATCAATAACAGCATTCCCTTTGTGATATGGAACCTTGTGGTACAATGTCAGAGAGATCCATACACTTACACACAAGTTATGTCTGGAAGTTACAAAAATGCTTATTTTTGGCCCCTTTTTGGCCCCTAATTCCTTAACTGTTAGTACCATAACCCCCAAAATCAATCCCCACCTTCCTTTTGTGGTATTAAACCTTATGGTAAAATTTCATTGAGATCCATTCACTTAAACTAAAGTTAGAGTGCGAAAACTAATGTGTCTTCGGACGACGACGACGACGACGTCATACCAATATACGACCACAAAAATTTTTTTGCGGTCGTATAAAAATGCTTATTTTGGCCCCTAATTCCTTAACTGTTGGTACCATAACCCCCAAAATCAATCCCAACCTTTCTTTTGTGGTATTGAACTTTATGGTAAAATTTCATAGAGATCCATTCACTTAAACTAAAGTGAGAGTGCGAAAAACCAATGTGTCTTCGGACGACGACGACAACAACGACGCCAACGTCATACCAATATACGACCACAAAATTTTTTTGTGGTCGTATAAAAATACCTATCAAATAGAAAATATATCTACCTCTGTCTAAAGATCACCTAAGGCAAGAGAGAAATTAGAGAGTAAATGAAAAATGATTAAAAACTTAGTTTATATGTGAGGGGAGATTTATCCTTTTGGACTCATTTAAGGCATTATAATAATTTATGAAGAATTAATAAGATGTTGACAGTGGTTTGTGTGCATCATTAAATTGCTATCTATGATGTTTATAGATATTGCTATTTATGTTGTGTACAAATTGTAATGTTGTACAAGTTATCATTGTTTTATGAACTGCTTAACACAAAAGGATGATATAAGCACACAGTCTTTTGTTTCGCATATTTCTGTCATATTTCCATGACTACATGATACAGTCTAATACTGAGCATTGATACAAAAAACAATATAGTAACACTAAAAGACTTTTTATGGATATGATTTTGGTAAATAGAGAAAAATAAAAATCGAATTTAAACCATTCAGGTGTCCTTATTTCCAATTCTAGGACAAGGAGAATAGCACTAAATGTTAGGTTGAGGTATATAAATTTGAATTAAAGACATTAAGCTAAGAAATTTTAGAAGATAAACTTTTATCATCTGGTGCAAAAAGGTATGTGTTGAAAAACTTATAACTTGTACAAAAACCCTGTACAATTTATAATTTGTACAAACTTGCATCTTGTACACAACATATATATAGATATACTTGTTTTTGTTTTTTTATTGTATTTGAGTTGTCTCCCCTTGACTATGGTTGTTATTTACTTTGTAATTCAATTCAACATGTCCTGTCTGACACTTATAATATAATGATCTCTGGTGGCCTCTCCTAGTGCCTTTCATGTTCGACGTCATATTATTGACAGGGATACATGTGGTAAGAGGAGAAGACCAATGCCATCATTAACTTTTCCTACGTATTCATGTTATTTATACCAGAGTAATCAAAGATGAGTACGATCAGGTAGATAGTTACCTATGTATTCATGTTATTTATACCAGAGTGATCAAAGATGAGTACGATCAGGTAGATAGTTACCTATGTATTCATGTTATTTATACCAGAGTGATCAAAGATGAGTACGATCAGGTAGATAGTTACCTATGTATTCATGTTATTTATACCAGAGTAATCAAAGATGAGTACGATCAGGTAGATAATTATCTAAGTATTCATGTTATTTATACCAGAGTGATCAAAGATGAGTATGATCAGGTAGATAATTATCTACGTATTCATGTTATTTATACCAGAGTGATCAAAGATGAGTACGATCAGGTAGATAGTTACCATACATACGTAAAATTAGGGTATCTAACATTTTAGCTTTAAACCCGCTTTAGAAAAATTCAATATCAATACTTATATTATATATTATGTCTGTATCTACGCATCTCAAGGCTTGGAGTTCTTTCAAATAAAATAAAAAATTCCAAAAAAAAAAAACAGTCCCTTATTAAAGACTTATTTCTAATAAGGAGTTTACCAAAAGTGTTGGTACCAACATCAGGACAGGTAAAAAAAAATTATTATGTGTGGAGTAATAAAATACTATTTAGTGATGATGTAGGAATTTTCTTCTTTTTTTGTGTTGATAATGGTCGTAAATGCATTTTTATGGTTAACTTTTTCAATACACAAAATAAGTAAAACTGTCTTACCCCATCCATTTAAATATATTACTGATATCTTTTGTAAAAAGACTGCTGGTTAAACCTTGTTTCACTTCGTTGTTAAATTTAATTGCCTCATCCACATTCTGAAAAAAAAGTATGAAGAAATTGAAGCATAGCATTTGCTATCCTTTTCATGCTTTCACAATTAGTGAAATGTGTTGTTCAAGTTTTAGGAATGGTTGAAGATTTACATTATCAATCAATAAAATTTTATTTCTTTTTAGAATCCGGACAAACAAGTTTTTTCGTTATTGGAGAATTTGGAGTTTTATTGCTTTTGTTTAATCAATTCACAACTTTTATTTACCCAGGACAATTTAGTTCTTGAAACATTGTATAGATCCAGTTTATTGTTGGAGACTAATGATTCTCCTCTAGATGTTTTTGGTTACTTTTGTCTTTGTTTTGTTGTTTCATACACTATTAACTTTATACAATAATTGATTATAGGTTTCTTTTTATGGTTTATATCAGAGAATAATTTAGTCAATGCAATCATGTAAACCATAACTGGCATTTGAGCTGATCTTTTTTTAAAGAAATGTCCTTTTGAATATTTTTTTCAACATAAAAATTTTATTAATGTGAAATTACAAGATGTGAGGCAGGTAGTAAAACTTAATGTCAGCCGTTTGAATCCTCCTTTCTAACAATGTACTTACTTTACATTTAAGAGCATAAACAATTGGGGCAAATGTTTCTTTCAGAACTACTGGTGCATCATGGGCTAGGCCAGATACTATTGTTGGTTCAACAAAATGTCCCTCTCTCTCAATTTTCTGCAATAAAATATTGTTTGTATTATGTAAATGCATTCTAAAAATTCTAAAAGTTTGTAAGAAAACAAGATTGAAATAAAGTTTCTAGTAACATATGTATAAATACAATGACATTTTTTTGTTTTTACCATCCCCTTGAGACTACCTGCATAAAAGTTTAGGTTTTATGCAGGTAGTTTCAAGGGGATGCTAAAAACAAAAAAAAAATAGTTGTACATGCACTGATTCCTTCTTAAAAAAATACAGGATTTCATTGCACTGGTTAAAAAAAATGTGATCATGACAATGGTTTTAAACTTGTATACCAAGTTGGAGATTATTGTGAAAATATGGAAAAAAATATATGACCTGTCTAAGACTCTAATGAAATAAACATAACTAGATGTGAGTGTACATGTATTTCCCCATCTGTAGAGAGACAGAAGAATTCCAAAATTCTGCAAAAAGAAAGTTATCCAAAATGAAAAAAAGGTTCAATCTGTAACTTAAAGTCATATGAAACAAGTTTCTTGTAATTATAATAATATCAAAA